TATATCAAAATCTAAGTTAGCCCTTCCTGAATACAATAAAACTTAGTGTAGGCCTAATAGCTTTTATAGTTTTTACGTTACATTAAATCGTTTATATATATATATATATATATATATATATATATATATATATATATATATATATATATATATATATATATATAAAATACAAAACAATAGATACTCCGAAAATTGAAAGCATAAAACATACTCGTTTATATTAATTCAGCATCGAACAATACTAGTTCTGCAAGTGTTATGTTAAGTGTACAATTACACACTTAACATAACACTTGCAGAACTAGTATTGTTCGATGCTGAATTAATATAAAAGAGTATGTTTATGACATTCAGTATATATTTCATAATTTCCAGTCTTAAATCCGTCTGACCGTGTAGCTCAGTTGGTAGAGCGTCGATCTAGTGATTCGAAGGACGCGGGTTCAAGACCCAGCCGCGGCAGACACAAGCCCGTAGCTGGCTCTCAATTTCTGGGGGGGGGGGCACTGCAGAAAGAGGGTTTAAGATGAGAAAATTTTTTTTTTCCCATAATTGCAATTGGTTTCCAGGTCCTTTATCTCAATTTTTCAGACAAATTTCGGTACTTAGCCCCAAAAAAACAAACAAACATTAACAGCTATTAGTTCTGCAAAACGTAAGGGGGGGGGGGCATAATTTCAATTTTATTTCCGAGTGGGGGGGGGCACTGCCCCACCGAGTGAGGGGGCAATGCCCCCTCCCCAGCCCCCCTCAGCTACGGGCCTGGGCAGACAACATCTTTCTGCTTGCGCTGGGTATGGAAATTATATAATACACACTCTAAATGATGCTCAATTAAATTAATGCTATATATATATATATAATATATAGCATTAATTTGTTAATTTGTAAATTCTGAACGCTGATTGGCTAAGAGCTGTGTTGATATAACTCAATGTCAACACGGGAAATTTTCCGCCGCTTGTAAACACGGAATTTTTTCTTATCCTTCGGGCTTTTGACATTGCTATATAATAAAAAAAATATAAAACATTTTTTCCGTATTGATAAATAGTTATATCAACACTCGTGGAAGTTGGAAAAACTCGAAATTGTATGAAAACACTCTGCCCTTCGGGCGTCGTGTTTCCATACAATTTCTCGTTTTCCCAATTCCACTCGTGTTGATACAACTGTATATCAACACAGAAAATGTTTTATATTTGTTAAATATAAACGTTTTCAAAATGAAATGGTCAAAATTTCTGGAACATATACCTCGCAGAACACCTCCGCAGCCCGATATATAGAAAACTCTCCAATTATAATTCGAGCATCAAGTTTCTAAAACATAAATAATAAAATAAGAATTGAAGATCAAACATAAAGATCAAACATACTCACTAATATATTCACCGGAAAAAAGGTGAAGTCCATGCTATGGAGTTTGCGATTGTATCACCAAATCCATAGTATTTCCATACTATCCATATAGTTTCCATCTAAGATCCATGCAGCTATATCGATAGTCAGGATTTTGATAACCATTTCCAGTGATTCATGGAACAAATACTGCATCCGAAATTCTGAATGCTATATTATCTCCGTCGAACTGGCTCAATTGCAAATGGGTTAACAATTTTTGACTGGCTCAATTGCAAATGAAAGGGTTAACAATTAAAAACTTATTTTGGGCTACAATCTAATTGGACATAACTGGTTGAGAATATTTTTCCCCCAAAACAAAATTCGCATATTTTTATGATAAACTTCATGTTGAATCATGTTGCCCTTCTTAAGTCCACGCCCCCCAACTCAATGTTTAGCTTGTGTTATGGTATATTACCAAAAGTTGTTTCGGCGTTGTTTACAACATTGAACTGGGGGAGGGGGAAACGAAGTTTGTTTTGTCACTGTTCAATAACTTTGTAATATTAGCTGGAATGCAGGTCTCAAGGGTTTTGTCCAAGAATATTGTAGGTCAACCGAGCTTAAAAAAAACATCCCCGTTAATTTAACTTGTCTATGGATCATTATCGGTTGATTCGCTATCGCTCTATTGCTCAATTTTTTGCGCATTTCTGGCGACGAAATAAAAGTTTCATTTTATTACTCACTTCCTATACCATCGGTAAAAAATTAGCCTGAGTATCAGGCTACATTTTCCCTTCCTTAAATGCAGGTGGATGAAGGAGAAAAGAGGTTATGACACAAATCTATGTCTGCCCACATGTATAAAAAACAAAATCTGGCTTTTCACCTGATTGGTCTATATCAAACAAAAAATTTTAATCTGTCTTTCGATTGGTTAGTGTTAATTAGATTATATACTATTTTTCATGATATCTTTAGCAGTTTCAACCATAATCACAGGCATTGTTGTTCTTATTATGTGAAACTGACATTTTCCTGGGACATTTTGATTGGATACCACTTTCTGTGTTGGACACTAATTATAAACTTTACTGAGGGAGGAGAGCGACCGGATTAACGTTTGTGTCAGGCTGTATTTGTAAAATATCAGGCTAGTAAGAAGTAATACTTTTCACCTGCAATCTCTCAAGTTCTGCTTTTGGGTGGCCAATTTCACGTGAACCTTTCTGATATCCTTCCAATGTGATGATTGAGACGCCCGGTGCAAACCAGTTTACTTGATCTTGAAAGTTTGCCACTGCCTGTAGAAACGATAATTGACAAAAGCTGGTGACACGAGATTATGGAAGGGTGACGAGAGTGAAGAAGGTTAGATACTAGATATCCTGGGGTACCACTAGATATCCTGCATGGGATGGGGGTGGCATGCAGATCCCTCCCAAAAAGGTCATGCAAATAAGGGTATTTGAAAGTATTTAGGAAAAAAAACTCGTGTGCAACTACATGGGGAAAACAGAAATATATAGAAAACATTCCTGCACAACTTCTACACCGTTAAAAAGGTCGACAAAGCTCCGAACTTAAAAACATTCTCGCGAGGAGAATTTCCCCTCCCTCCAACCAGGAAATCCAGTATAGAAGCTGTAGTCAGTCATAAATCGGGTACTAAATAGGTCTTAAATCAGACCTGGAATGAACAACCTTTTCCTTGTTCTTCTTTAAAGTTTCATTTGAAGGAAAAGTTAACATCGTTTGCTAAGGAAGCTTTTCAGAAACCTCTTTATATTGCCTTACCGAAGAATACAGCTTATCATCATATTCTTGTAGTATAGCCACTCTCTTCCATCCAAAATAATCGAGGACTGCCAGACGGGCATAGTTGAATGAAGCAGTTGATGGGACGTTACTGAATAACATGCCATAATACTGATCATTCTGCAGCTCAACACTGGTAGCACCATAGGATATCTGTAACAATAATTATTTGTTATTATGAGGCAATTTTTTTCAATGTCGCGCATTTGCGATGAAAAGTGCTCAAAACCTAAAATCTTTTTGGCGTTCCGCTCCAAATTACTTTGTTTTAGCTTTATTTTGTAGTTTACACATTTAGCAACCTCTTTATATATCTGACGATTGAGAAACACAAAATAATAGTTAAAAATTGTCAATGTAAATACAGTTATCATTAATGTTGTAAAATTGTCGCTATATTTATACAGCAATACAAGACATCATTTTCTCTTTGGCGTGCCATCTAAAATCTCTTCATTTTAGCATAATTTTACAGATAAAGCACTAAACATACTTTTTGAAATTGCTTGCCGCTTGAGAAACGTACCAAAAATTTAAAAAATTGAATATAGTCACAAAAGTATATTCATTAGTTTTTGAGCGCGTGTTACCTAACATACAAAAGATTATCCTCTTAATTTATTTTAAAGATAAACCGTTTCTGATTGGCCAACAGCCAACTCTGAAATGGTCATATCAACTTAATAGCTGACCAAATATGGAGTTTTTATATAATATTCAACGAAGTGACGTCATAACGTTGAATATGAAAAAAATCATATATTCAACGTTATGATGTCATGTTGTGGAATTACGCAATGTGGAAACACGACCAAAATAACATGGCGCCTTTGGCCGTTTTGGTTTTGAAACATCTTAACGTATTTATGAAAGAAAAAAGAAAGATTTTCTGCAAAAGGAAAAAGAAGTAGTCATTATTTCGACTAATTGAACCCACAGATGCGGATGTCGTTTTCACCTTTTATATAATAAAACAATTATTTGGCTAAATTCGGTTTTCGCAAAATATGAAGAATTATTAAGCTCCACGTTGGCCAGGCTTGATAATTCTCCTCATTTAATATAATTGTTAATATTGGTTTTGATAATATTTCCGCATTGTGAAAGATCATTACCTGTAAAACTCGCCATGTTCCACATGCCAAAGCGGCAGGCCCGGCATTTCTTGACCAGGCTGGTCCAATCAAAACTTGCATCGACTCATTCTTGGGCCATCGTAAAAAGTTGAACACGCCTAAGATTGAGTATATTGGTGATCCCTGAACAAAAAAAGCAATGAAATTATTGTTACACTCGAGTCTAAAGTAAGTGAAGCCAAAGATGGAGCTACATATTCATGGACGTCAGTTTCATTCCTTTTCTATTGCTTTTGGTCTGCGCGACATAAGGAGTGTGTAGAAATTTTGTATTTAACTTTGATTTAAAGAATAATACTATGGTTTTATCAGCTGATAACTTGATTAGCGATACGGTCGTTATAAAAAAAACTGGAATTAGCTGGGAGAAATGGTATTAAAACTGTTTAAAATCTTCATAGCTATTGAACGTCAATTCCGCCATCTTGCATGGTTTCACTTTTCTTATAGGCCGAGTGACTGAGGTTCTTGCTTGCTAATTAAACTATTTAACATTAGATTACGAGCTCCAGATTTCCATGAGGTGATAGTTGATGCTCGAATCAACTATCACCTCAAAGAAATCGAGAGAGAGTGATGTCACGAATACAATGGATATGCATGGTAAAGTTTTACTGCGTATATTTCTTCCATTTTCGTAATAATTTTACTGCATGTGCGTATTTTCTTCCATTTCCGATAATTTATAGCTATATTGAGGTTCAGAATGGTTTCATTATCTTTTAAATCTGCCTGTGCCACGGTAAAGTATTCGACGCAAATGTTGTTCGTCTTTGTTTTAGAAAAAGTTTGAAAAATCTTAAAAGTTTGAAAAATCCGCCATTTTGTTACTAAAAATACATTTTTTTCGAAATTTGAATCCCCATATCTTCGCACTGCCTTGTTGCATTTTCAATGTTTTTACAGTTTTGAGATTATTATAGCACAGTCTCTTCAAAAAAGTTCCTAGCATGTTCTTAGCTCGAGTTTAATTTTTTGGCGCCAAAATTAGCACGTCATTTTCCCGCCAAAATG